TCTCTCTCTCATTCTCTCTCTCTCTCTCTCTCACACACACACACAGTAAATGCAACAGTAATGTGCCACAAAAATCAGTATTATCAATAGCGTCATTTCAGCTTTTGATTAGCTTTATGGACAGCAGCAACAGTCAGAAAATGGGGAACAGACACAGCTTGTGCTATAAACTCCAATCCCCCTCTTCAGTTACGCTACCACAGTGTTGTTGACAACCCTGCTCATATCCACAGTCAGGGCAGTATACTCATCCTGTTGTGTTGCATGGGATGAGCCCTTATGTTTATAGTATTCTGAGAGCATTTGTGTCTTTCCTATTTGTTAAAAACATCCATAATAAGCCCATGTATTTGTTTAAAACACAGATGGCACTTTTGTGATTTGTTTCTGATGCTTTCATCTTTGTTTTGCCAACTTCCTGAGCTGCTGTACTCACTAGAACAGCAACAACAGACTGAAAAGCAACTGATTTTATTATCCCAGTATTAAAAGGTTCACTTTGTATTTGCAAAAATAATAATGATAATATATAAGATAATTTATATAATAATAACGTATCAATATTTAGTGTCCCTGCATCGATAAAGTATTGCCTTACTCCTTTTAGAGATGCACTTATGTGTTGACTCATGTACCTATTTAGCTAGGTTGGTGGGACGAGCTTCCATGTTGTGTAGACGCAGGTAATCAGCTGGTAGCTCAATGGTGGCGTTCTCTGCCCTGTGTTAGTCAGTCTGGGTGAGTACCTGCTGTTATGAGCACATTTATTTGTGCTTCAGATGGTAGGTGTGGATCACCTCAGGTCCATAATGTTGACTGCCTCTTTTTCTGGGAGGTTGCCGTGGTCTGCTCTCAGGTCCACAAGTCACGTAACGCTCGTGGTATACAACATCTCTTTCTCCCAGATGTTCTTCCAGTATTGCTCAGTTTTAGCTCTGGGTGCCCTCTTATTATTGTTCCCTTGTAGCTGAGAGTACACCTTGGACTGATCTTTGGAGAAGAGGCAATTTATTCTCTTGGCCTTTGCTTGTCTCTTCAGCCTAGTGGCGAGAGGTGTGAGCTTTTGTTCTGCAGTTTCTAGAGCCTTAGTTATTTGCACCTTGCTGTATATCTTATTCATCCAGGACCTGCCGTTCAGTACTTCTGTTAGCTGACTAACCCCCTCTGGGCTTCCCTCATTTTTGGCTTCCAACCTTCTTCTCCACAGGAGACTTTCTCTGCATGCGTTCTTGATCTCATACCCAAGTGTTTCTATTATTTCCGTGGCAGTGGCATATATGAGCTCATTTGTTTTAGTAACACTGGTAGTGGGAACGGTGAGCCGAGCTTTCTTGTCAATCTGCAAGCATCGCCTATGATGAGACTTGTTAGTGAGGGAGTCATCAAGCGAGTAATGAATCCAAATGTGAAAAAAAGAAGTTTGGCTCAAGTTCTTATCAGTGTGTACCGAGTAGATCAGGAAAACAAAAAGAACATCTAAGAAGTGTCTTAGCAGAGCTTTATTTTTCAGCATTAGTGAAGCAGTCAACTCCTTGACAATGAACAACACAAAAAGACAGACAACATCCAAAGAAAAGCTTGAAGTGTCCTTCAAGAAGAACTATTCCTGAAGACTACGAAATGATGCGAACGCTTGACTAACAGAGTTCAGAATAAAGGTGTTTATCACAAATATTGATTTTTAAGATATTAGAGTAAGACAGGCTCTTTTTTCCCATGTATACACTATTTCTGTATTTTTCCATGTTTCAGTAAATCACTACAGCTATGACCTCATCGCTATCTTTAAGAAACGGTCTCTTATAAAACTGCAGAGAACATTTTGACTCTAATTACATATGTGTAGTATTCCCACATTTAAAATCTAATTCTGTTAGAGGTAATCCAATGGTTTTACTGCATTGTACTATGTCATCACATTACTAACCTTTTTCTTGTGTACATTTGTTCCCAAAGACCTCCCACAACAACATGACCAGCAAGGAGGACTCAGATCAACAGAAGACCTCCAACAACGTGACGATTAAGGAGGACCCAGATCAGCAGGAGACCTCTGATAACAACATGATGTTTAAGGAGGACCCAGACCTGCAAGTTTGTAACCAGGAGAGGAACTCCAGTCTGGAGAAGGAGAACCCAGAGCCGACACAGATTAAAGATGAACAGGAGGAACTCTGCATCAGTGAGGAGGGAGAGCAGCTTGTAGTGAAGGAGGAGGTTGATGGTATCATCGTTTGGACTGGTAAAGAACGGCTCAGTCTTCTGGATAAAATCTGGAAACCAAAAGAAAACTTGGGTATGTACAACTAAAAAGTTCTTAATGAGATGACACAGGAATATGAATCTTAATAACTTTGACCTTAATCAGAGCTCAAGGTTTCTTATTTGTTTACAGGCACAGGAAAAATTTAAGGGAAAACTGCAATGAGTAGAGCAGGAGTGGGGGAACTCCAGGCCTCAAGGGCCGGTGTTCTGGGAATCCATCCTACCTGACAAACCATCCTACCCGTTGTTTCTGCACACAACACAAAATTAAGTGGCGAACCGTCCTACCTTTGTGAATATTAGCTAGAAAAATACTCTGATGGGTCAAATTAAGTGCCAAACCATCTTACTTTTGTGAATGTGACCTACAAGCAGCTAAAATTAAGTGGCAAATCGTCCTACCTTTGTTAATAAGAGCTAGAAACATACTCTGACTGGTAAAATTAAGTGCCAAACCATGCTACCTTTGTGAATGTTACCTACAAGCATACTTTAACAGGTAAAATGAAGTGACAAACCATCCTAGCTTTATGAATATGAGCTACAAGCATACTCTGATTGGCAAAGTTAAGTGGCAAACAGTCATACATACTTAAATTTGTGCTGGAATTACTCTGTGACAGCAGAAATGTGCATAAACTACTTACGGTAGGATGTTTTGCCAAAGTAGGATGGTTTGTCAGAACACCAGTATCCTGCAGGTTTTAGATATCAATCTGGGTCAACACACCTGAATCAAATGATTAGTGCATTCACAGGCCTCTGGAAAACCTCAAGACATGTTGAGGACGTAATTTAGCCATTTAAATCAGCTGTGTTGGATCAAGGA